ACATGAGGAACGGGAGCCCATTTTCAGCTCAATCACACTAAATAAAGTAAAATGTCTCAAAGGCAGATTGTATTGTGTTATTCAACTGCCAAAGCAGGCTCTGGGGAACAGAAATTAATAATGGGTTGTTGACTGGAAATCATATACAAGGGAACAAAGGCCTACACTGTTAATTTCCACAACTACTGCACTGAAAAAGAACTGAGATGTTTTCATAGAGAGATTACTTTCACAACCATTTTGATAGCACCTTAAAAGAAGAACTGAGGTATTTTTTCACAGGATGACCTAGTGTTCTCTTTAAAGAAAGAAAGAAAGAAGGAAAAAAAAAAAAAAAGGGCGACTGTTCACATAAAAATGGGCTCTGTTTCACAGGCGTGGGTGCACAAGGCCTATGGTCGCACGGAGGATGACAGACGCACAAATGCCAGTGGGAACCCTTTTCAAACAATCTCAAATCCAAGGCTGTGGTTCCGATGAAGGCATTAATGCCATGAGATGAAGAACCCTGCCTCCAGACAGATTCACTGCTCAAAGCCTGTACAGATATTAGAATTACAATAACTTCAAAAGAAAACTTAAGTGAATGCGTGAAATCTGGAAATCAGCCAAAGCTTTATAAATTATCACTACATAAAATTCTGAAATGCTCAAGGCATTTCAATACTAAATAAAGTATTTTATAACAGCATGTAATTCAAATTCTAATAAATTAAATACCCACTGTACAAAACTAATTTCCTACTCTATTAGCTAGAGATGCACCAATCCGATATTCGGACTGATATCGGCGCCGATCCAGACCTATTTGACGGAACGGGCATCAGCCATACGTGACAGATCAAAAAAGACAGATTTAACACGAAATGGGAGCTATTTGTACAATCAATCGCACAACAGCTTTTTCATATTTTAGTTGTGTTTTTTGCGACATTCAATCTGAACGCTAATTATTTGCTAGTCATTGGGTGTGAGCACGGTGACTTCTGCCTGCAGCAACGTCATGCGCAAACCCTTGGCAGTACGAGGAGCTTAAGAACATCAGATAAGAGGGTGATGATCTGGAAGTATTTTACGCTTTTAACAAGTAGCAGCACGGTGATTTGTAATCTTTGTAAAAACAAAGGGGCGAGAGTAGCGTTTAGTGGAAAATCCCACTAAACAAAGCACACGCAATTGTGCGAGACAACATGAGTGCTATGAATAAAGCAATGGATGATTTGGGAGTCGCTAGGTTGGGCTGTTTTGTGCACTCACTACAGCTTGTGATTCACGAGGGGCTGCGATCACAGCAAAGTGTAAGTGACGCTGTTGCCAGTGGGAGAAACATTTTGGGAAATTTTAAGCATTCACCTCTTACGTATACGTATACTCTCCTAAAATATATTCAAATTGAACCGTAAGCTGCCTCAAAAACGCTTAAATCAAGATGTACAAATGAGGTGGAATAGTACGATATGCATGTTTCTAGTAGCCTAATTAAAGATTTTTTGGCATACATTTTCTCATCTGTATTTACTAGTTTAAAAGATATTCATAATGTAAAATTGATTTTTATTATAATAAGATCTTAATGTAAAAAGAGCTATTGTATCGGAATCGGATCGGAACTGAAAAATGTCAATGGGCACATCCCTACTATTGACCCTGACATTTCAGCACAAAAGATTTGCAGAGGCCAAAGACAGAAAAAAAATTAACCACAAAACAGGAAGCTCGCTGAATGATCTACAGGCAGAAATAAAAACAGGAGAAGTATGACAGAGAGGAGCAAGGCCGTTCACCATCTACGGACAATGTGTCTCATCTAATTTCTGTTTTTACCTCTACTAATAAACTTGTATGAATCTTGACTCAAGGGAAGCCGATAACGCTGCAAGTTCAGTTCTGATTATGGATGCCTACCAGTTGAGGACAAGCTCAGATGTTGTTTAAAGCAAAACCTCCCGAAATGAAAGTTTTTTCCACCTGAACAGGTAAAACTATTCGAGGAATGAACACCAAAGGGTGGCACCACACACCATATATAAAAAAAAAACAAGAAATCAGGAAATGGGACTGACACTCCGATGAAACAGCTCTCTGGGGATTAGAACATCATCCAGATGGCTCTGGTTGGCGGCCACAGCAAACACCATCATGCACTGGGGTTGGCTTTAGCCATCTGAGCTGTAAGGGCTCTCATCTGTCCTAGTTATCAGCTTGACTGGCAGGTCTGCAGTTCTCCCACCAAATAACTTCACAATTTCACTTCTGTTCAGTGCAACTGATGGCAGAAAGCATGAGACAAACCCAGAGCCATTCTACATATCAGGCAAAAATGCTGCTAAGAATATTCTGAGCCCATAACCAACATATTTCCATATAACAGACAGCACCCATATCTACTCAATCCCATTCACCTAACCAGTTTCAACACATCACAGCTACCACCTTTGAGTCTTTGGTATTACTGTGGCTCAGTTTAAAAGACTGGATGGGAAATCCAGTTCCCTAGAGAACCTAGCCCAGCTATGGGGAGAGGCAGATTCAATAATCATCACTCTGATGAACTAATGCCTTAATGAGTCAGACTGCAGCAAGGCACGGATGCATGGTACTGTACTGTGATGCTACAACCAAATAGTATGCTGCAGAAACATCTCTTTCATTTACTTGCCTAGGTTAAAAGCCATTTTCATAACACGTGCCATTAACGTTGGGCTCCAGGCTGACTGTGACCCTGTACTGGATAAGGAGCTATGGAAGAGGAATGAATGAATGAATGAATGAATGAATGAACGGACAAAATTCTGGAAAATCCTTATCAGAAATACACCATATATGTGCATTGTATGCAACAGCACAACATATGAATCAAAAGTTATATCAGATTTTCTGCAAGGTTATTGCCTTTTGTAGGCAACCGTTGAGTGCTGCTGCTACCCAGCGTCTGTTCAGATGTGGCCTGAAAACATCACTGTCAGGCATCACATTTTTGTAACGTCACATCCTGTTATGCTACATAAATCTGAGACCAGACAGAAAACCCTGAAAAACACTGCACACACAGACTCATCACTAACTGAACCATGAGAAGCTATTTCCCACACACTGACATACTTATCCTGAATTGCTTCTTACATAGTGTACATTTAAAATAAATGTAGTTTTTAATAGATAATGCCTTGTTTAAGTTTTCTAAAATGGCAAGCGCTCAACTAAAATAAAACATTGTGTAAAATGTATACATCACCACTTCATAGTCAGTCTTCCTCAAACACAGCAATGCAATCGCATTGGCCACATTTAATTTTTTCTTTGCCAAGAGGCCACTGAGTTCATGACAACCAGTATAACAAGTCGTCACATACATTTACATGTTTACACTTCACAAAGAAATTACATTCTTGTATTTTCTCAACTTTACCTTTTTCTCATGAAAACCAAAACCATGAGAAAATTTGAGAATGCTACATACAATGCATTATGCTACATTCTGCGTGGAACTAGTTCAACACAAATGTTTACAGTCATCACAACGGGACCAGCAAACATCCCTGGATTTCTTAGATACAGTCGGTCCGTGTTTTTCCCAAAATAATTTGTCTGACCAAGAAGGAGATAATTACAACTATACATCTGCAAGAAATCCCTAACTTTGTTGGTTACTTTTAAAACAAAAGAAAAAATGGAATGGGGGGGGGGGGGGGAGGTTGTCACCATTAAAGGCTCAGCTGTTCTTGTAATTGCCTCCCCAGCCAAAGACAGCATTCCAAAACAGAGGATCAACAACAGCATCTGACTTCTGAGACTCGGAACATGTGCAACCTGCCAGCGATTGCAATGGGTTATGCCCGTCTACATCATCCAAGCGACAATTTAAAAAAACAGGACACACACACACTGTCCCGCCTGTCCTGAACCTGCTGATGGGCCTCCAGGGTAACGTGCCGATCACGTTCCCAGGACTGGTAGGCCGCAGCCGTTCCCTGGCAGGGGGATTTGAGGGAAAGAACAGCTGCTCTGGACTAACCCTGGCAGCAGCAGCCACATAAATTCCTACGTGGATCGCCTGGATTACAGTACAAACTAAAACAAAAAACAAGAGATTTTACGACCAGTCACTGCCGCCCTGTTGATGATTATTTTGCGAAGGACTCTGACATTTAAACATACAAAGCATATAGGTGGGAGGGGACAGGGGGGGTCACATAACATCACACACCAACAAGCACATGAGGAAGGGTTCCACAGATAGAAGGATGCATCTAAGGTTATCTGCGTCTGTGAGTCTGTGTGTTCACGTATATCCCTATTTAGGGAGACAAAATGCCCACCAGTAAGAAGCACCCGGTAGGCGGACAACCGGCGGCGATACACAAATACGATCAGAATCGGCTGCAAAAAAAAAAAATCATTTAGAACTGCTATTGTAAGAAAGCCAAGGAGGTTCAAGGGAAAAAAAATAAACAGGCTGGCTAGGACGTTCAAATACCCAAATGACTCAATTCCACTGTGCTGGTGAATCCACTTTAACGGATGGCAAGCCACTCGTTTCCTGTTATCATCCGCATAGCTCTCAGCAACGTGAAATAAGTAACTAAACTAGGCGGCTGGGTTAACTAACTGAACTTAAACCGGCTAGGTAGCCTGATACGGCCGTAGGTGTAATGATGAAAACTTGATCGCTATCTTTATTGAGTGCTTTTATTATTGCCGGTACGCACCTCACCGTGAAACACTAGACCTTTTGCGGTAAATCAAAATTCTGCCACTAAGTCACACACTATACGCATATTTATAAGTTCTCCCCCACGATACAGCGCGATTTCCCCCGGTCAGTAAACCCCGGCCGGCCGGTTTCCCAGCGGGCCGAGCCCGCCACGGAGCACAGGCGCCCGGTTCAGGCGGACCAGCGTGACACCGGAGCCCGAGCCACGGTCCGTGACGCCGAGCGCGAGGCGCCCAAGAGCACACACACCGGACCGAAAGTCGAGCCTCAAGGGCGGAAAACTTACCGACACGTCCGCCGAGTGAGATATTTACAGCTTCTGACAGAAGCCGTTAAACAGAAGAAGGAAAATGAACCTAAAGCTTCCAGAGCCAAAGACTTTCCCTTGGCGGTTTAACCACACTCACACGCACCAATCTTTTTTTTCGGTACCCCTCCCTTACATACGCAACCAAAAAGCAGTAAAAGCGAATTGTAAGCTCAGATGTTCATTGGTTAATATAGCCAGCAGTCAACTCCACAACATCCAATTAAACTTCAGAGGGAGATTCTTTTTCTGGCCAATGGGAAACTTTCACCAGGTATTGGGAGTTCATGATGTGAGTTATGCCTTAAGAAGTTTTATTTTCCTAACTGGCACTGGCAAAAGATAAAATTATGCAATACAATGCATCGGCATGGCTTTATTAATGACGTACTATACTTAGCAAAGTTCAATGGTCGTCTTAGCTTTGTTCACTGTTTATGAAAACCACGACTATCTAAACCTGTTATGAACTTAAATCTGTATGTGTTCATGCGACAAGCATGTCAGTAGCAAAATGTTTTGCTTGAGAAAAACCGTGTGAGCTACGATACAATGACCATGGGTAAAAATTGCATTTTGATCAAAATGTCCTTCAGAATTCACCATGATGATGAACATATGTAGGGCAGCTTGTTAAAACCAGATAAAACAAATCCTAGCTTTTTAAACACCTTAACGCGTTCATAAGGAAGAGGATTAGGGCCAATATGAAAATATTATTTGAATTCTGACTTTAATCTCAGAATTCTGAGTTTAGAAAAAAAAAGTCAGAATTCTGAGAAAAAAGTCAGAATTCTGAGATTAAAGTCAGAATTCTGATTTTTTTTCTCAGAATTCTGACTTTAATCTCAGAATTCTGACTTTTTTTTCCAAACTCAGAATTCTGAGATTAAATTCAGAATTCTGAGAAAAAAGTCAGAATTCTGACATTAAAGTCAGAATTCAAATAATATTTTCATGGTGGCCCTAATCCTCTTCCGTACGTTCAAAATAGGTAGCCTAGACTGAAAAACAAATCATCACTCTAAATATATACGTCACAGAAACGGATTTGATTGTATCATGGTCCCAATCAGAACCTCATACACCTTGCGGACTGTCTGGGTCCTCTTGGACTTTTGCAGTCGGGTAGATATGAGAACACCTGTGTTTCACCTGGGATGTTCAAAGTCTGGAGAATAATCCTGCTCGGTTGCTGAGGGGGGCCTGGATCCTGCCTGAGATACGGGGTGCCCTATGCTGTTTCGCTGTAACATGTGTGTCAAGGATATGCGGCCATGCTTATCTAAAGTCATTAATTACGGTATTTAATTGTGGTGCACGGGCAGCACCTACCTACAATGAACGACCTACAATGGATGATGAGGACGCTATTGTATATAAGGTGCATGAATTAACACCGCAGCTTTTGCTGTACCCGGTTATTTACTGAAACGTTGTAGAGTGAGGATCACATGCTCATGTAATGTCAGTCATAAAACCTGCATTGACTTGTTCCACCATTTCCACACACGTGCAGAGGATTGTCTTTAACCTAAAACTCCCATTTGTATAGGGAGTTCGTAGTAAAAACAATTGAATAGTTTTATATTTGAACTGGGTATTTAGTAATAATATAAATGGTTCAATTACCATTCAAAAAGTTATGTATGTATATATTTAACACAGTAAGGCATTTTACCATATTATACCGAATATCACAGTATGTTGTCAAAAAAAATCAGAATAGACACACTTCATATACACCCTCTTAAAATGTTTTTCTTATGCCCAAGTAACCCATTCACATGGCAGTGTCACACTAAACACTTCAGCACATCATCACAAACAATATTATGATAGTAAGATGATAGATTTGATGCACCCGCTTTTTGGGGTGGACCACTCAATGTTTTGGGTACAGGGTAGCACCATGCCTGCCCAAGCACCTGTCTGCCAGGGCCAGCCCACCTGCCCTTCTGCCTGACTAACGGCTTACCCATATCTGCTCCACAATGTACCCACCCACCTGTGGTGTCCTGCCATCTGCCTGATTATACTCCGCTGTTAACCATGGTGTCAGCCATAGGACCATAGGCATTCCTTTGGCTCTTCTTCTTCCTGACGTTTCTCCCTCTATCCGAGTGAGTTTTCCATTTTCCCATTAAGTAGATTGTTTGTTTCATGGCATCAAAGGTTCATGAAAAAAGGATTATTTGGGCCAGGTAGCAGGGTAGCAGCGTGGGTAGGACTTTGGGGATCCCTTGCTGTGTGTGTGTGTGTGTGTGGGCTTTGAATCTTCTCCTTGTGCTGTGTAGGGGTTCGAGCACATACTCTGGCCTCCTCCTGCTCTCCCAAGACACATCGTTAGGCAAATTACCGTTGTGTGTATTTGTGGTTATCGTGATTGTGTGTTTATATGTGTATGTGCTGTTGTGTATATATTACATTGTGGGGATCCAGTGTTCCCACGATGTAATAAAAACTTGATACTGTATACCTTGTGGAGACTTCTTTTTTTTTTTTATCTCCCCACAAGGCAAACTCAGTTTAATTTATGTGAATACAGTCAAAAAACTAACATAGCCAAAAGTCTTATATTTTGTTTGGTTACTTATGGTTAAGGTTAGGGCTGGGTAGGAGTTAAGGTCGTCATTGTTGGGACTAGAGTTTTCCCCATAGAAACGAATGGAGAGTCCCCACAAAAACATGAATACATGGACAGTTTGTGTGCATGCGTGTGTGTGCATGTGTGCATGTGTGCAATGATATGGACTAGCATCCCATCCAGGTTGTTCCTCTGCCTCATGCCCTGTGGTTTCTGGGATAGTTCTCCATGACCCTGTGATGAATTAGTGGTTGGAAGATTGATGGTGATTGTCAGGACCTGGAAAGGCGTGGGGAATTGTAGATTTTCATTGTAAATATCAGCGTGCAGTAATGTTGCTTTAAAAATATGGAAAATTTTAAGAGACAAAGGGAATTCCACAATATCTGCCTGGAGATAAATTAGATTACAGAAATTTTGACATTTTTAAATCTATTGAACTTTGCTCCTATTTGGTTTCAAATACAAGCCCAAACAGAAATATCTCTTGATGACATCAAAATTGCTTTTTTTTGGGAAAGGTTGGGCTAGTTCTGTGTGTATGTAGTACAGTGTTATTTTCTCTTAAAACATAGAAAATGTTAGCCTGTGAATAAAGTGAAATTAATATGTGTTTTTGGGCCCAATTCCACATGCCTTCAAAGACGATCTTTTGGTTGAACTAGCAAAGTCTTTGCCAGTAGGGGGCAGTGTTTGTCCAGCATGTTCCAATTATGTATAACCTATTCATTCTATATTGAACTAAAATCGCATGGTGATCATCAGGGGTACGCAAAATGGGTATGATAGATATTGTGTTGAACAGTGTCTAACCATTGAGAACAAAGAGTATTACCTACTGGAATTGCTATTATTCCTTAAGATAAGGGCTGTGTGAGAAAAAACATCCGATAGTTTGAAATACACTGAAAAATAAACCTGGCAAAAAAGTATCCAGGAACATACAGTGGATGTGCCTCTTGTGATTTTCACAACTTCAGCCTTAAAAATAAACACATTGCCTATGCTTTCTGAACATGTGTCAAGATAGCAGAGAAGTGGTGGGTGGTCCCAGGCATCGACGCTGGTAAACGCCAGGCAGAGGGCTTGCATAGAGGGGCTTTCTCATTCTCCTAAGTCCAGTATATTCACAGTATCTTCCAGCAAGCCTTGCCAGCCGCACAAGGCAGGAAAATGACTTTTTACCAGTGCTGGAAATGCCATTTCAGTGTGTGTGTGTGTGTTCCACTCTAGAGCCTCACTGCAATAGAACGAAGAATTCTCTGCCCTGTCTGCTTCCATGGCAACCATTATAGTACAGTCCAGGCTTTAACCGACACAATAGAGATGAGAGATGTACGTGTACTACTCATGCATGACCTTCCCAGAGATATTAAAGGCAAGACGAATGCATGTTCCTGCAGTTAACCATGGTTCACATTACAGATATAGTGATTCAATATCTGAATTACTCAAAGACCGACCCTATTAAGATAACACCTTGTAAGGTTTGCTTCAACTGGAATGTCAAGCAAATCCATGTGGCACAGGCATGGGGGAATGGAACGGGCACGTTATCGAGGTTTTGAGGGTTTAACAAATTTGGGGAAAGGAACAAGCACCAATGGATTGCCATTATGGCATTAGTGGGTGTGGGGGGCGACTAGCTGGGAAAATATTATGGCCATCAGGCTGCAGAGAGAGGCCTGGGTACTTGGTTTCTGAGGTGCTTTATACTGTTCTGTTTGTTTAGGGCAGAGAGATGCAGTTTTATATATTTTTGGATTTATGCTGTCCCCTCAAGTCTATGCAATCATCCTTGTCTATCAATCATCCTTGTCTATTCAGAAACCGGCACAATATAGGTGTTGGGATTCCAGTCCCACAAGACTTCTTCCAGGTGAGCCATTGATGTAAATCACCTGAGCAGTCCTGACAAAACAAATGAGAGGACAAGTGCATTGTGGGAATAAAACTGGTATGTATCACTTATGGCTGAATTTGAGTGTTTTCTTCACAGAAATAGACTGCAAAAATCCTCCCAGGATCCCATTGAGAGAAGGATGCTGCCTTTCTCTCCGAATGACCAGCTGCATTCCTTTAATGCCAGTCTGGCTCTAGAACCAGCCTGCCTCGGAGTCCAAATCAATTATCAGTTCTTTCTGGGTATTTGGTTTGCTGTGGACCTGGGGATGCTGAGGTGATGTCACTCGATCCCTGTTGGCAGTAAAGACTTATACTACGTGTGTGTAATTCCCTTCCCCCCAGAAACACCAATGCAAGCCCAGCGTTGCAGACTGTGGTTGCTCCCATGTCCAGTGCTCATCTGAGCATGTTGAAGCATGGAGGCGTGGCTTGTTAGCTCTGTTAGCTGTTGTTAGCACTGCTTAAGCCCTTAAGGTTTCAGCTTTCATGTATTTAAATCACGAGCCAATCATGATGCCTAACTACAAATAAAATCAGATGACACCATACAAATTAAGATCCAGTTATAGCTGTAAGACACACTTTTATTACTGTTTAAATTAAATTTGCTTACTATTATTGCTTGTTCCTGAAAGAAAGATGTATGTTACCTCAA